CTTTGAACGTCATTTACATTTGAGGCAATAACGACCGGCGCCGGAGAAGCGAACCACCACTCCGCCTAACGATCCCCGCACTCGGACCTGATGTCATTGTCTGTCGCCTCGCCGGCCACCGTCACCGCTCGCCACATCCAACGGTCACCGTGTCGGCTGTTGGTCTGCGCCATGGCCGGGGCCGGCCTCGCACGTGGCGGCGTCTCGGCGCGGCGACGAGACGGTGCTGCCTACAACGGTGCTGTATCTGGCCAGCGCGCGTCTCTTTCCGCCGCGCCAGCGTCCCACCCACCGACACTCCACAGGTCACATAGCTCTCGTGCGTCCTGTAACGCACCCCGTCCGCAGCGTCGCCCGTCGGCACGCCCGCCCGCCGACCGGCCGGCTCCAGACGGCGTTCCACGGCTCCGGTGCGGCGCGGAGCTCCTCGCTCACCGAGGGCGGAGCGGCGCCGGCCGTTTAGAACCGCTGCTCGGCGGCAGCGCTGAAGGAGCGCTGCACGGGCGGACGCGCCTCGGCGGGCGGCGGCGGCGGCGGGGGCGGTGGCACGCCGTCGCCGGCCGGCAGCGAAGTCACGCGCGCCGGCTGCGGCGCCCCCGGTGGCGCCGTGCGCCGGCGGCGGCGTCGGCGGCTGGCGCGGCAGCGAGCGTCGCTCGGCCGGCGAGCCGGCAGCACAGATGCGCGCCGACAGCGACTGCAAGAAGCCGGGGTCGCGGCTGGCGGCGGCGCGGCGCAGCGCCACCGGGCTGGCCGGCTGGTGACGCGCCTCGGTCAGCGAGCGCACTGCCTCGGAGACGGCGCCCGAGCGCGGCTCGGCCGCGTCCACTGCTGACTCGCGCCGTACCGGCGGCGGCGGCGGCGGCCGGCTGAGCTGGGACTGACTGCGCCGTAAGCCGCCGTGGCGCGGCGCCGATGCGTCTGCGGCACACAGGCGGGCGTCAGTCGGGTCGGCGGCCCGGCCGGGGAGGCCGCGTGGCCGTCATCAGCAGCACACGCCACGCGTCTTTCTTTCAGAGGCACCCTTCAGCACGCCTACAGAGCAATTCAGCAGCGGACGTACGAGAAAAACAGCGATGAACAAGGGAGACAGCATCCCAAACGTGCGTGGACACCCAAGTCCATGCTTCGGAAACAAAGCGACCGAAGCGCGCCCGAGAGCCGTCGGCGTGGCTCGCTCCGCACTCACCTGCAGGCACTGCTATCGACATGGGCCGCCTGCTCTCCTGGCTGGCGGCGGGCTCTTCACAAAAGTTGTATAACACAAAATCGGGCGGCGGCGGCAAAGCTGAACCAAAAAAGGACGCGTCAGCCACAGCCGCCACTCGGACCACAGAGACGGCCAGGCGGCGGATGTACCCACAAGCTGCTGACATCTACCGACCCGTCTCGCAAACAGTGTATCCCACACACGGCACCAGGGCGGACATGCCAGCAGCCCCGCACTTTCGATGCTGGTCAGCTCCTCACGGAACATTATTTGCCTTTGTTTGAAAATGGAAAAGCGCCTGACTACCACCCAAGAAGAACGTAACAACGCAAAAGAGCCTCGGATAACACAAGCGTTTGCTTTCAGTCCAAATAACTGGTCTGGCATTTGGCACCAACCCAGCAGCCTCCAATGCCCCGCACCGCCCACACCACGGCGCTCTATCAAAGGCAGAAATCATGCAAAACTGACGCGCTAACCACCGCACTAAATCGCAAACTAAACAGGCATGTTAGGAGAGAATGCCCAACTTCGTAGCGGCAATGGACATCAATTTTGAGACCGGATATTGCCCCCGCCGTCTTCCTAGAGTTGTTGGGATGATTCGTTGCAAGACATACCGCATGCGTTCAGGGCTTTAAAAGGTCTCGCAATTACATCTGTAACGCACGACAGATAGAGGAATTCATGACAGCTACCATTTAAATATGTGATTAAATAGCGTCCTACTCATGGCGCGGACACTGCAGCAGCGCACTACAAGCACTCGAAAACATGTAATTTTGCTCCAAAGCGACACTGTAGTCCCAATCGCACGACCTTCACCGTACAGGCCACAATGCACAACCAACTGCCAATCTCGGGGGCAGGAAGCGCAACCAGAGCTTCTGTCTAGGCGACAGCCCTACACAGTCAGTCAGCCGCCGACACCTGCACCGGCACCGACCCCGACCCCGACTTCACACCCGGACAAGAGACAGGCAGCTGGCCGCCGCGCGGGACGGGCGGCGGCGGCGCGCGGCTACGTACCGTCTGCCGACTGGGCGTGCGCCGGACCGTGCACGCTGCCGTAGCCGCTGGAGCCGGAGCCGTCGCTCTCCCAGCGGTCCAGCTGCGGCGTGAGGCGGCCGTCAGGCACACCGGGGCGCCGACAGGGAGCCAGCATGCCAGGGCGCCACACCACGTCACACACGTAAGCAGCTAACGCGCTCACGACGGCGACCAACGCGTCCGGTCGAGCCAGCGTGACGTCACTGTTCCCGGCCCGCCGCACGGCTGGTCATTACAAGGACTTTTCTCCTCGGCTGATCAGCCGCTGGGAACGACGCCTTTCTTTCGCAGGAGTCGGCGACCCGCCAGATACATGCCCGGCAAACGCCACCCCGCTATTAAGGTCGTGGCATTACACAACAGATAACCTGGACCAAGCACAAATGGCGCTTGGATCATTTTCAAGACGAACCCAAAGCGCGAAACATTTTTCACACGTGCAATACTACTGCGGAGCTATAGCCACTGACGACTTTCGGTGATCCGCTGTTAAGCAGCTAGCGTCGTCGTGGGCAGCCAGCTGGTGGCCATAACTGTGAACAGTGGCGGCGGGTTCTGCCGTCGGCAGGGGGGGGGAGGGGGGGGGGGGGAGGGGCAGCTGGCGGCATTACCGTGGGCAGGGCGTTGCTGGGCGCGTCGTCGGGCTGCGGGCCGGCGGCCTCCTCCTTCAGTGCTGCCATCTGACGCAGCTCAGCCATGTTGGCGTACACGGGCTGCGGCACGACTGCGACCGGCAGGAGGACAGCGTCAGCGGGAGGCACGGCCGAGGCTCCACACGCGCACACACACCCGACGCCTGCCGCGCCAGCCGCTCGGAGACAGGAGGCCGACGACGCACCTCAGCGGTACGCCGGCCGCTCGGAGACAGGAGGCCGACGACGCACCTCAGCGGTACGCCGGCCGCACGGAGACAGGAGGCCGACGACGCACCTCAGCGGTACGCCGGCCGCTCGGAGACAGGAGGCCGACGACGCACCTCAGCGGTACGCCGGCCGCACGGAGACAGGAGGCCGACGACGCACCTCAGCGGTACGCCGGCCGCTCGGAGACAGGAGGCCGACGACGCACCTCAGCGGTACGCCGGCCGCTCGGAGACAGGAGGCCGACGACGCACCTCAGCGGTACGCCGGCCGCACGGAGACAGGAGGCCGACGACGCACCTCAGCGGTACGCCGGCCGCTCGGAGACAGGAGGCCGACGACGCACCTCAGCGGTACGCCGGCCGCTCGGAGACGGGAAGCCGACGACGTACCTCAACGGTACGCCGGCCGCGGCACCAGCTGATACCGACGTTTTAGAGCGGTGCTCAGCGACCCAGCGTGAGGCGGGCACTTCGCGACGCAATAATACCCTACGGCGTTTGCGTGCTGGACGGCGGGGAGAGCAGCGCCGGACGGCGAGACAGGGCGGCCGGGGGGCGCGTGCGGCTCCCATTTGTCGCCACTCGCCGGCACGCCCCAAACGTCCCGTCCGCATCCACAGCGGGGTGGCGCGGCCTCCCCGGAACAGGGGCGAGGGCTGCACCCCATTCATCGGCCATCGGGACACACTCACGCCCCTCGACCGCCCGGCCCCAGGGGGCCGCCGAGCCGAGCGAGGGGAAGACCGCGACAGGCAGAGTCAATAGGCGTCATCAAAGGGACGGCCCACCACAAGGAGGCCTTTGTCCGTCTTCGGACCATCACATTCAGAGCACGGCCGTCTCCGCTCATCACAAGGCCTCTGGGAGGGCGATCTCCAGCTCGATTCGCTCCAACGAACGAGCCAGACGCCATCCCTTGGTGAGCGGGCGGTCGGCGCGGATCGAGAACTGTGCCCTTCAGACATGCGCAAAAATAGCAAATCCGTAGAGATTGGTTTAACCAACACAATAACCTACACAAACAAGTGTCTGCTCACCTTAAAACCGAACAGCGCCAACAGCAAAGCAGCAGCAGCACAACCCAACAGCACAAACAGCAGAGCAGCTGCAGCATAACAGTGCCACACGCGAGCCAAAAGACGTCGGCATCAATGTCAGACAAAACAGTAGCGGCAGCGACGAGGACTCACCCATGTGCGGCGCCGCCTGGTTGAAGTCGGGCAGCGCGGCGTCCGTCGGGCAGGCGTAGTGGCTGAGCACCTTGCGTTTCTGCCTGGAGCGGCCCTTTACGGGCACGGGTGGCCGGCCGGCCGGCGGCGGCGGCGGTGGCGGCGGAGACGGCGAGACGCCGCGCTGGGGCGCCACGAACGTGAGCGGGCCCAGCGACGTCCGCTGCAGCACACCGCCCCGCACGTACGCTGGAGGTCACGGGGACGCGTCAGCGCAGGTCAGGGTCGGGTCAGGGGCAAGTCAGGGGCGGCAGGGGCAACGGGGTGGACCGGGGCGGATGGCACGTCACCGAGCGGTTACGCCCGCTGGGGACGTGAAACCGAAAACGACGCAGGTCTGAACCCAAGGATGTGCAGAGATCGTGCCAAGCCCCAACCATTCCTGACGGTGGGCAAGCGACGCAACGCCACCACGGCGGATCAACCCCTTTTCACCAATCTCTCCCTACGCTACTGCCCGGTGGCGGCGCTCACCGCTGGAGATTGTGTGCGGCCGCGGCGGGGCCGGGGCCTCGGGCGGCGGTGGCGGCGGCAGCGGCGCCTCGCTGGCCGGCGGCGGGCTCCAGGCGGCCGGCGGCGGCGGCTCGGCCGCCTCGGCCGCGTCGGTCGGCAGGCTGCAGACGGAGGCGCCGCACCAGCCGCCGGCCGGCGGCGGCGGCGTGGCCGGCCGCACGAACAGCGTGTCCTGCGACGTGAAGCCCGAGTCGTGCGACGACACGCTGGCGACGCGTTGCGCCGGCGCGGCGCCGGCCAGCGCCGCCGCCGTGTGGCTGAACGAGCGGGGCCGGCCGCCGGCCGGCGGCGCCGTGCCGCCGGAGCTGGACGAGTGCAGGCTGTTGATGGAGCACAGACTGGACTTGCGCGAGCCCAGCGAGGAGGAGGCGGCGCGCGGCGAGTCGGGCGGCGAGCCGGGCTGCCACGCGTCGCCGGCGCCTTTTATGTCGGCGATCAGCTGCGGACACGACCGACAGTCGGTCAGCACCGGCCCGCTCATCGCGGCCGGCGGCGGCCTCGCTTCTCGACGCCCACTCTGGACGAGCGGCTGATCAGTGCTGGGTGTTGAGGCACGGGGCGTAGAACATGGGGACGCGGAGAATAGTCAATACGTGTGACAAATTGCCAGGCCCCATGGCAGCCTGGACAAAGCGATGCATCCATAAGCGAGCGAGAACCACGACAACCGTCGACATCGCATCAATAACTGTCCAAGGGCCTCGTGCAAGACGCCGAGGCCGAGACGGGCGTAAAGACAACAGGTTCGCGACAGCAACAGGCACCCCTGCACCCGGCATCACGTCTGGTCAGCTGGCCCAGCCGCCGACATCGGCCCTTGCGCACACCCCGCCGCCCTCGCTGCGCGGCACGCCACCGTGGCGCCAGTTCCGGCCGCCGACGGGCCGCGGCGCCCCCGGCTGGGAGCGCAGCAGCGCCGCGCGCCCGCGCTCTCACCTGCTCGGAGGCGGCCGGCAGGGCGAACGGCTCGACCGTGTGCGCCACCAGCTGCTCCATGACCTCGGTCAGCCGGGACATCTCCTCAGCGGCGTCCACCTCACCCTGCTGGGATGCGGAGACGGCGGTCAGGGACAGCCCCGGCGGCGTGGAGCCCGGCCTCACAGCCGCGCGCCGTCGTGCCGGCCGGGAGGACGGGCAGCACGAGTCGCCCGTGACTCCGCTCCGTCGTCAGCCGCAGCGACAGCGGCGACAGCCCACCCAACAACAAGGGAATGAAAGTAAACCGGCGCAATCGGTGTAACTCGACGAGCGACGCCGGGAAGTCGCCCGTTGAGGAGGCACAGCTGGGAAGGCACCGGACAGCGCAGCCGGTGTCTTCCCAGCTGTGCCTCCTCACTGACACCGCTGGCCACTGGTATCTGACACCGCTTGCCCCACGGACATACACGGCTGTGCGCCGGGAGGTAGGGAGGTGGGGTTGACGGAACGACAGAACGTAGAGAGTGGCACGTGTCCCCAATCTCTTCATTCTGGGCCTGACGGGCGCAGGCGGGCGTTATGGCCGTGTACCCCTCCAGGTTCCCCTCCAGGTGTACCCCTCCTTACGCGTACCCCTCCAGGTTCGAGGCCAGTATGGTGTCCGCACAGCCTCAGACATGACCTGACTCAAGCACACCCTGCTCATTGCGGTTTTCTTCCGCTTTTGAATGAATTACTGTGCGGTTTTCCTCCGTTTTCGAATGAATTGCTACAACACCTCCGAAGTCGGTGCCCATGACGACACCGGCTCGTCCGCGTCACCACAGCACACCGCTAGACAGCACATGAGGGAGGGGGAGGGGACGGGGTCCAGCCGACTCAGCGCGTCAGCGAAGCGTCGCCGCCGCTCCTCACCGACGCGAGGCCCTGCGCAGCGGCCGGCCGCCGTCGCCGCCCCCGATGTGCGGCGACAAACACGCGCCGCCCTCGCTGGGATGAGCTCAGCCCGGCGGCACAGCGCGCTGCTGTCCCCGCCATAATAACACATTCATCTCGGCACCGCGGCCCGGGATTAAAGCTGGCGCCGGCGGCCTCATCAGAGGACCGTCTGTCCGCCGCCACACGGCCGACTCTCTGGCTCACTCCGGCGGCGCCCCGGTGTTTTATTCCCGGGTGAATTACGGCCAGACGGGTAATTGACGCCGCTGGAGGGGCTGTCAGGCCCGCAGCGCGTCCACTTAACGTGCTCGATCGATATCCAGGACTTGGATCAACGCCGTCTTGTACGTCGCTCTGCCCTTTTCAACAACCACTTTTTTCTCGACACCGGTAAATTGGATCTGATCTGGACGAGCCGCGCCTAGTTCGGCAAACATTCCGATATTCGTTTGCAAACAAAGTTTGAAACAAAGCGAAGTCACGGATCCCGTTGAAATAAATGGGGGGTTAAAATCGGGACCGCTTGCAGCCGAGTTGCGATTCGTTCAACAATCAGGAGGAACTTTTCAGCCGCGTTCTTTCGGCGCGCTCATGCCGTACTCTCGAGAAAACTTTTCCACGCTGATATCCGAGCTGACATGGAATCTAACCCAGCGTAATCGAGTGCAGGACTGGGGACTGAAGGCGCACATGTTACGTGACCCACGGAGCTTCCACTTCTCAGAATACGACTCACACAGAATTAATTGCATTATTCATGATCACGATCTGTCCGGTTCCCTGCCCATTGTATTCATCACTTGAAGACCGTCCGAGACGGCACCGCGAACGGCACACCCCGACGCATAACACTTTCGACGACATCCAACGCGATCCCTCCGAACCCCTGTATCCCGAGGACACCAGTGTGCCCCTCCCTCGGAGCGTGTCACGCCCCTGGCTCGTGCCGGCAGTCCCGACGGCGGGCCTCGCCCAGAGGCGTCACTCACCACGACCGGCTTCAGCCAGGTGACGAAGCGGCAGTAGCGGCTCCGCTCCTCCACCAGGGCCGCCTCCAGCGACGCCCGCTCGCCGGCCTCCAGCCGCTGAGGACGGACAGAGGGCACGGGTGAAACACAGGCCGGAGCGCTCCCTCCAGAGGCGCGCCCACAGGGCCGCCTCCAGCGACGCCCGCTCGCCGGCCTCCAGCCGCTGAGGACGGACAGAGGAGGGCACGGGTGAAACACAGGCCAGAGCGCTCCCTCCAGAGGCGCGCTCACAGGGCCGTCTCCAGCCAACATCAATCACGATGGCCAGACGGCTTTCCCATGGCAACACTCTTCGGCGTCGGAATGTAGGCACCACACTTGATGAAATGGAATTGCAAGGTCGATCAGTGTCATATTCATACACAACATCGGCGCAAAATGACCCCTGCTGTCGACGCGTCCCGAAACCCAAATAACAATAATCAGATACAACGTCATGGCGACAGACTCAGTTAGGAGACTGTCGTTCCCGGGTCCGATCCTCGTCGCGAGGAGTGGGAGATTCTTACGGAAACTTAGTACAGGGATACCGAACCTCCCCAGAGTCTCCAAAACCGGTCCCGCGCAGCGGTCAGGTCGCAAGAACGCCCACTAATCATGCCATGCAACAATATTTACCGTCACATTTTCCGCCTCATTTCGGGTAATAATGGCTTCTCACCACAAGTGGTTGTTGCATGAAAGGGGTGTCATAAGAAAGGTCGGCACGGCAAGCACACCGACACCATCATTATCTAATTGGCACGACGTGACAAAACTGCCAAGCTAATACACCGACGTCACTGCGACACATGACATTTGATTTAAGACTGGTGCTTCATAATACGAACTTAACGACCGGCTAAGCCAACAGCCCATCCGTAATTGCAGTCGGAACCAAGGTTGCACGGTCGGCGGCTGGGGCTTGCCACCACTTCAAAAACGTTTTCAAGGTACGCCACTGTTGCCGCTGCTGGCGGCACAATGACCAAAGATCAGGACGAACTACGAGCAATGGGGATCACAGCTGTCCCCCGGTAATGTATTCGTAAACAACTAGTCCAAAAAACGTGGAAGACAAGTGGGATCATGTGGAAAAATATCCTGAATGTTATTGCCAAATAAATCTCGTGAGATGGAAGAATGACCCAGCCGCGGGCGAAACCGAATGAGTTAAAGCCCTCGGGTTTGCGATGACGAACACAATCGGACCGGTTGCTGCCATGACGCGGACTCTGTTGCGCCACCGGAAGGCAAAAGCATTGATTCATTCAATTCTAAGCAGGCGAGATGAGATGCCTTCTACCTGCCGTACCCCCGCGGACATCCCGTTGACTGTTGAATCAGCGGAAGGTGACCTTGCATCGCGCGAAAGGGGCAGACGACGCCACCTGTTGTGATCTCAGGGAGCATCCTCAACCCGAGAATAGATGCACAGCCCGGTGAGCCGCGAACACGGCAGCGGTGGCGCAGGAGGTGAGCAGGCCAACCCAGCCGCGGTGAGCAGGCCAGCCCAGCCGCGGTGAGCACGCCAGCCCCGCTCGATCGCCAGTAGAGCGCAGCGCGCCGCTCCGGCCGTGCCAGCCACCTGTGCCCGGCGCGCTCAGGCGTGCGCTCGCGTTTAGCGGCGCCACCAGCGTGACCGTCACTACGGGCGGCGGGCGGGCCGAGCCATGCGGCCGGCAGGCCTGCGACGTCCGGCGGTGTCGTGAGCCACCACCGGTCCGGCAGCCGGTCCGGCCCCCCTCAGTCCGGACAGCGACGGCCGCGGCTCGCCGCCCTGCAAGCGGCTGCGCGACGTAAGGTCACCCGGGGAAAGGCGCCGCGCCGCCCGCAGCAGACGAGGCGATCACCCAGCCGACCGAGCACGTCCTGGCGCCCGATCAATCCCGACTCCTCCGGCTGTAAGCCGACGCGTTGACTCCGGAGGTCAAAGCATAACAATGATGTGCAGGCGAGGGCGCCGCGACCTGCCTGCCCTCGGCCTGCGGCTGGCAACAGAGCCTGCGCTTGCCGTCGCCGAGGCGGTCCGGTAGGCTGCGCCACCGGCCACGGCAGTGGAAAGGATGACAACGGTATCGCGGCGGATAGCCGGCAACCCTGCCAGCCACGTCACGGCGGCGAGAAGCGCGCGTTCCTCTCAGACACAAGGACGCGCCGGAAGAGGCCGTGACCGACAGTCAGGGGTGCTCAGCGGCGCTTCGCTGGGCGCTCAGGGTGCTCACTGGCGCTTCGCTCCTCCTCTCGGCCCGCCGGGCGCGCCGCACTCGTCCGCTACCGAGAAATGACGCCTGACCGTGTGCCAAGTGTTTCTGAGAGTTCCAGGTGGCCGCCTGTCTTCGCCTTGCCACTGTTTCCAAGTATTTCGACTTGGGTTCGTGAACAGCTTTGAAACGTTCGAGAATGGAACCGCAATACACCGAATCGAACTGGACTGGCAGGGTCATCCCACGGTGGCAACGAAGGTCACAATGGCCGAGCCCCTCCACCCCCCCCCCCCTTTCCCCGCTGTCTGGCAGGTCGTCCAGATTTGTTCCACGCCAGTCCAGGCACTGTCCCCGGTGAACTCCCGCCGGGCCGGCTCCGGCTCCGGCTCCGGCTCCGGCTCCGGCTCCGGCTCCGGCTCCGGCTCCGACTCCGACTACGGGACCCCGTCTCCGTCTCCGGCCCCGGCCCCGGCCCCGGCTCCGGCTCCGGCTCCGGCACCGGCACCAACTACGGGGCTCCGGTTGGCCCCGCTGCGTTGGGCCGTCGGGGCCCGCCGCAGTGTGTGTGTGTGCGTGCGGGTGCGTGGCGGTACATAGTGCGCGACCACGTCATGAACGCGCGGCGTGACGCCTGGCGGAGCCCGCAGCGCGGCGCCGGCGCCGGCTCCGGCCCCGGTGCCGTCAGCAGCCCGCCTCGCGAACCGGCACCGGCCCTGATCACGCCCGCTGACCGGCCGCTGAGTAACGGGCCGCGACACCGGCCGGCCGCCCGCCCTCCACCGACCACCGACCACGGGCGCATGGGCACCGCAGGCACGGCCCTTGCAAACGCCAACACGTGCATGGTACTCCCACGTCTTTTATAGCTTGTGGTAAGGCACGCTGTTGGCAGGTTGTGACCGGTGGCAAAGACTTGTGCAGTACAATATGCGCACTAACAAGATTAAGATATAGCTACAGGTGAGAAGAAATGTTATCAATTATCATGCTGAACGAAATCCGCAACAAGTGTTAACTTCAAGCTTTTCAACAACGCACATATCTTCAAAGGGCTTTCGCATAACAAGCCTGTGTTCTACACAATCCAATACATTGACAAACTCAGTAAACACCCACGAGGGCACACAGGTCCATGCAGCAGGTATTTCTCGGAGAGGGACACCGGGCAGCGGCGAAAACGCACACAGCCCACCTCGACCGGTAACCACACCCCCGTAGCAGGGGTCACAACGCCACCGTTGACGGGCGCGCGTATATACAAAACACCGCGCCTGATGGCGCGATCTGGACGTTATCCTGGCTTCCCGAAGGCCACCGATGAGCGAGTGTGTGACAGCCCATGGCTGGAAATACGTGATCTGGAAAACGTCGGATGGCAGCGTCTCCGAGACCACGCCAGGTCCGTGACGTCACGGGCCGTAAGCCGCCATCAGCGATGCCAGTGACGTCACCCTACACCAGCCGTGATGCGGTGGCGCAATACGCTGACGTCACGGGCGTATTACAGGTAATCGCCGCGCCGTCAGTGTCGCCAGAACTTCCCAAAACGTGACGGCGGTGTTTACGAACTGATTGACGGAGTTCGTGGGACCGATACACAAGAAGCACCCACGTGTCTTCAGCCACCTGATAATCGGCCACACCGTGTAACAGATCGGCGACCCGGGCCTCTCCGCAGGTCTGCACCGCACATTCAGGTGAGGAATCCATTTCGGAACCACTGCAACACCCAACCAAACATACAAAAAGTGGTTTTCAGAGCCGCTTTGCCACACCGCGCTTTAGGAGTGCCGAAAGTCTGTGTCTTCGGGTAAGGACAACCCCGAGGGTAGCCTCTTTACCTGGCCGTGTCCCCCACCCAGTGTCTTCGGGTGAGGACATGCCGAAGGCAGCCTCTACGCCTGGCCGTGTCCAAACCCAGTGTCTTCGAATGAGGACATATCCGACGGTAGCCTCTACACCTGCCCGTGTTCTTACCCACAATCACTGGCGCCACTCAGCTCATATCCGCCGTCGCCGGTGTGCAAGGCGTGGCTATTCGTACCGCCGTGGGCGGCAGTTTTATATCCTGCACCGCACAGCAAGTCACGTGGGCGCAGCGCGGCCCGTTTCCAGGTAGCGTGCAAGCCGGATGCAGCGGCTGACAACCAACACTGGCATTGCGCCCACCCACGTGTGTCATCGTCACCAACGGCCAGGTGTCGTTTGACGGACGCTGAAAGGTCAAAGCTACCCCGCCCCTGGCAAGAGACAGCTCTCATGCCACGCGACACTCGGGGCACGCGCCAGGCGTCATGGCATTTGACCGGCGCCGGCTCGGTCCGGCCCCACCGCCGGCTGTTCCGTACAGCAGACGGGGCCGCCGCGCAGGCATCCGAACGGCGCCTCCCGGCCGGCCCGGCACGCCGTCCCGCCCCGTCGACGGCACCGACGCCTTTTCCTCCGCCTCCCGAGACCGGCCGCAGTTCGCCTGCCGTCAGAGCGCGGGCGGCCGGCGCGGGGCGGCCCGCTTCCAGGCGCGCCTGTTGTGACGCGCGGCCCCGGCCACGACGCCGCCGGATCTGGGCCGGCCTGTTTTAGCGGCGTCCCGCCGCCCCGCATCTGGGCCACCATCCGGCTCGGTACAGGCGGCGCGGTGGGATGGAACTGCTCCGAGTCAACACCGCCAGGCGGTACGGTGGGGTGGGAGCGCGCCCCACCACACCGCCGGGTGGTGTGGTGGGGTGGGTGCGCTTCGAGTCAACACCGCTGGGTGGTGCGGAGGGGTGGGTGTGCTCAGAGTCAGCACTGCCAGGTGATGCGGTGGGGTGGGTGTGCCCAGAGTCAGCACTGCCATGTAGTGCGGTGGGGTGGGTGCGCTTCGAGTCAACACCACTGGGCGGTGTGGTGGGGCGGTTGCGCTTGGAGTCTACACCGCCGCCACCACGAGCGAACGGCCGGCTATGCATTGTACATAAACACCATCCCGTCGCTTGATGTACTCATTTGTCGTGACGTCTGTCGTCCACGCACAGTATGTACGTGCTGTTCAAGTAGCCAGCAAGACCTGACCCCGATACCCTGGCCCCGTGGCGGTCCTCCAACGGCGGTAATTCGGTGACCTTCCACGAGTTGCACACAATGCAGTTCAAGACAATATCAATGCGCGATGTGACACGGTGAAGAACCCTCCCTCGACCCCGCCCTCCGGCCTAACATTGGCGCTCACACTGACCTGGTAGCGGTCCTGCACATCCGACAGCTGCAGGGTCAGCGAGCGCTGCGCGTCCGGCGACTTCACTTTGCGAGCCTTCTTGTGCTGCTTCTGCGCCTCTGAAGATCGCTTCTTCAGCTCCGTCCGGCTTCGTCTGTACTCTGGAACGGATGGACGCGAGCAGTGAGACAGGCGCTCAGTCCCAACATCGCACTTCAGTGGCTTCCTGTCCTTGCCCCGATCAAGAACAACGGAAGCTATTGGTGACAGGAGCCATACAAACGCCGGAAAACCGCCACACCCTGACGACGCACTTGTCGACCGATGTCTCGTCCAAGCCCAGGAGACACGACCAAAGTGGAGGCGAGTGGTCCAAGACCAGACCCGAGAGCCCCAGAGTTTGACTCATGACACAGGGATGTCGCCAGGACCAGTACGCGGTACATACAGCAGCTGCGAGCATGCCAAGCCCGACGCATGCCCCGCCCCGAGCCCCGAGCCCCGAGCATGTCAAGCGCTGGGCCCGACGCCGGGTCTAGCCCACCGCACCGCTGCTGGAACCAGGTCAGCACCGGATGTGTCGGCTCCAGGCCCGGCTCCAGTCCGCTGCGGCGGGCCCGGGGCCGCGTCCCGTCCACAGACCGGTCTCACGACTAGGTCAACAGGCACGTCTCGTGGGCGGACTGTGGGCGGCGCGGCCGGACGTCGGAGCCCCCTCCCCATCTTCCTGTTGTCGCTGGATTGTTGATAAGACGCCGCCGCCGCGGCCCAGCGCATCTAAAGCGAGTCGCCTGTGCGTGTAATGGTCGGGGCTGCACGACCGCCGGCGGTTGTGTTACATGGAGGCCACAGGCCGAATTGCAGCTGATTCGCAACAGAGCGGAGAGGCTGCTGGTGCTGTGTGGCGCAATCCCGGAGCGGCCGGCCTGGCCTGGCTCAGGGCAAATACACGCCCCGGGACCAGCACCGCCCGGGGCACCGCGGGGTCGCTGGGGTGGACCGCAGACTCGAGCTGGCGACACTGGCCGACGGATTGGATAACAGCCTTTATAAGGTATCGGGATATGTTCGACACTGCGCTCGGAATAGGACGGGGAGAAGAGACACGTCGCGTATGTGCACCTCCGGCAGCTGACCGCAACAGTTCAGCGACAGTCCGAGTCCTCGGCCCAGCACACAACACCCGAAGTCACGCGATAAAGCGTCACCGTAGCTGAGAAAGACACCAGTCGATCATAACTTAGGGACTCCCACGGCGCATGCAAATTTTGAGACAACACCGAACAAGTTAGCTGCGGCCGGCCGTGACCCTGACGCGGGCAGACGCACACGCCTCGACCGTTCGAGACGAGCCGTCTGTTAACGGCAATGATTTACTGTTACCCATCCAACCCCTGCCAACGATGCATAATAATCGTTAAAGAATATTTATCGACGTACGGAGCTGCTGAGCTCATTAGCAGCGCAGCGACCCGCGCCGGTAACGTCGTCGGCACTCGTAAAATACGCGGCGATCGAAGGGCTAAGATCTCAACCCAGCCAGCCATCAGCCGGCACCGGCATTCCGATCTCGTTCCCGGAGCAGCTGACGGCGTCCCGCGCCTACCGACCGTCGCCACCCCCGCCTCCCGGCCGCCGCCGGCCGCCGCCGACCGCAGCCGGCGGCCGGCTATTGGTCCGGCCATTGTTTCCGGTCTGTCGAAGGCGCTTCCGGCGCGGGGGCGGCGGCCGCGGCGCACTCCCCCTTTGTCGGCCGGCCTCCCGCCTATCGATTGGCGTCAGCGGCCGACTCTCGGGGCGCGGACTGGTGGCGTGACGGGAGATGTCCGACGCTGACGGCGAGGTGCCATGGCCCAGCGGCGCCGGCACCTCGCACCGGCCACCCGCACCGCGAGACGGGACCTGTCCGGCACTGACGGCGTGGTGCCGTGGCCCAGCGGCGCCGGCACCTCGCACCGGCCACCCGCACCGCGAGACGGGACCTGTCCGGCACTGACGGCGTGGTGCCGTGGCCCAGCGGCGCCGGCACCTCGCACCGGCCACCCGCACCGCGAGACGGGACCTGTCCGGCACTGACGGCGTGGTGCCGTGGCCCAGCGGCGCCGGCACCTCGCACCGGCCACCCGCACAGCGAGACGGGATCCGTCCGACGCTGACGGCTCGGCAGGCGTCTTCAGCGCCCGGCGCCGGCGGTCCTTCACAATGAGGGTGGGCGTCTTCGGAAGGAGCAGCCTCCGCACGCTGCGGCGCCTGTCCTGTGTGACGTATACCACACGGGACACCCGTCACACCTGTGCACCAGCAGTCGGGCGGTGACGGACGAGCCCCGTGCTGGCCGGCAAACTCCCGCTGGACCAGGACCCCACCAGCAGCGGCGCGGCGGCCGGCGGCCGGCGGCGAGAGCTCAGCCCAGCCCCGCCGCCGCGGCGGACGAGGGAGGGTGGCCGGCCGCCGGCGATCGGCGCCGATCTGTCGCCGACGACAGCGACCGACGCCCGGCGGCCGGTGCCAGCGACAAAGCCGGCCGATCGTCAGCAATGAGCAGTCGGTCGGGCCATCCACTACACAGACGGATGATCACCTCCACGGCCGGGCAACGGCGCAGCAGGCGACAAGCTGCGTTTTCTCCAAGCTGACTTCCAGAGATTGTAAGTTGCATGGGTTTTACTTGCCGTTCAATTAGCGCGTTGTTTTCGCAGTAATCGGTGTTTACATGTCGATGTTCGTCTCAGTTCCGGTTGGCTGCAGCTTCATGATCCAAGCCAGACCAATGCATGGTCGCCTGATAATTTGGGCGTTAAAAGCCGCTGCCGTGCACTGCCGTGCATCCCACTAACGAGACAGTCCGCGACATATCTGCACAGTCGGGGCAGGCCGCAAACGGGGAAAACGGTGTCTGAGCTCAAGTGAATGTGAGATTGTTCTGTGATGACAGTTCGACGCCTACAAAACTCCCATGCGGAGGGAAACATTACGGAGACAATGACTCGCCGGTATGATACAGCAAAAACGGTAATTAAAACCGGCACGCCGACCAACAGGGTGCGTCGTTGCCAAACAGCACCATATGGCCCAGTGCCGCCATAAAGGTAATCAGCCGCCGGTAATTGTGTCGTCCGGCTACAAAACAGGGCGTTCGCGGCCGCAGCTAGCGCAGGGCCAGCTCCGCAGTTCAGATAGCGATGCGGCAGCGGCATCAAACGCCTCCAACATCGCTCCTGGCGACAGCGTTCGGCCTTGTTTACAAGACATCATTAACTCCGATCGCACGGCGGCCAACCAGCCCAGCAGCTTGGCACGGGCACAAGCTGCTCTTTGTGCCAGGCAGCGGCGCTGGCCTTGTTTACACGGCACCCGCGTCGCACGCGCTGCGCGCCGGCACCGTGCAGCCGCGACGCCGCCCGCGAGCCGGGCGTGCTGGGAGAGAGGCGCCGCGCGTCGCACCGGGTCAGGCCAGGGCGCAGGTCGGCCAGGTCGCCGACCCCGGCCGCCGCCCTGGCCGCCGGCGCGGCGCGAGGCTGGCGCGCCCCGCCGCCGGCCAAACGGCCGCCAGCACGAGCCGGGGGAGGAGCGGTGCCAGCGGACGAGCCGACGCCGCCGCGTCCAGCCGCGGAGAGTCCGCCCCGTCCGACGGCTGCAGCGTCACACCGCTCGCAGGGCGCGCCCGGCGCTGCCGCGCCAAACCGTGGAACAGGCTTGTCCGGCATGTCGAGTCGTAAAGCGGAGTGGGCCCGTTCCGCGCCGCTGCGTCCGCCGAGGTGCCAACCACCCGCCAGCCCGGCACCATCCCGCGATGTTTGTCCTCCCAAAGCTTCGCGCCTGACGCGGCGTCACTCCCGAAGTTCCGCGCCGAGCCCCGGAGACGGTCATGCCACGCTCCCACGGCGTACTACGGCGGCAGGAATTCAGACCCGGCCCCGGCCGCCGAGGCTCCCGACCCGGAGCCGGTGCCGCCGGCGCCTGCTGCCGGCGGCCGCCGGTCCCGGCGCCGGGCTGCGTGCAGGCCGCACTGTCCGTGACGTTCCCACTGGCGGCGGCCGTCGAACCGACTCGTGACTGGGCTGCGGCGGCTCGGTCACGCCCCGCCAGATCACGCCCCGCCCCGCCCCCGCCCCCCACCATCACGGTCGGATCACGCCCCCGCCGCCGCCACCCACGACCGATCACGCCTGGCCAGGTCAGCGGCGGGGTTCAGTCCGGCTCTGGCCACCACACCAGGCGCCTTGCGTCCGGCTGCGACGGCTGGCGCGCCGGCCGCAGCGCGGGCACAGAAGCCTGGCTGCGGGCCGCGGCGCCGGACGGTCTGGCGCGCGCTCGAGTGCGCCGGCGGTCGCCCCCGGCGCGTCGTTCCAGGCCGCTGGCTGCACCGCCAGCTCGCAGGTGGCGCGGAACAATACACGTGAATAGCGCCGCGCGGCCGGCGGCCGGTGCCGCGCCTGCAAAGGGGAGCACAGCACCGGTACCGGCCAAGCGGGCGGCCCGGTAGCGGAGGACGACGTCACGTGCGCCACAGAGGGCTTACGCCACGAAACGGTGGTGGCTACGCGGGGGTCCTCCTTACGGCAGGATTATCTCTGGCAGGTTTTAACTTCAGGTATCTATCCTCCGGGGAAATTCATTCGCGAGTACAAATAATAATATGCAAAGGGGATGTTCCACGTCTGGATATCCTGAAGGAAGCATCAGATATGACGAAATAAGATCACTGATGGTACACTTTTTAGTGGAAATGATTGCTCTAGACAACATCATTTCTCTGTTTAGTAAACATGCTCCCAGCACATCACTGTTTAATTGCGTCATCGTGTCTTGCACAACATTGATTGAGAACTAATTGACGGCCATTATATCTGGAAAGCGTGCTCACGAACGCCAGATATAACCGACTCGACAATTATATTTGCATTGGCTTTGATCGTCGCATGCCCATGGAATGGCGGGAGTTGAATGACGTTATTATGACGTCGTGAATGTCTGAGTGAACTTAAAATAGTCTCCCCGAAATAGTCTGCACATCTTCGCTAGCGTGTAGCTCAGAAACTGCACAGAACGATCTCCCGATGGCTATTTCAGTTTAAACCCCACGCTAACGTGGAACACTCCCTTTATCTCCAGGTGTTTATGCTCAGTGGAGGTTCATCTGTAAGTTCCATAAATACTT